ATATGAAGTGTCAACAAAACAATTATCACTGTTCTGAAGGGGAGATGGGGTGAGGTGAAAATGCATAGAAAATGGCTATTTGTTTACTTCAAAATATGGGTAGTATTTACCAGAAGGGGGTTATCCAGAGATTTTCTGTATCTTTTTCATATGCCATTTCTCTCAAGAATCAACAGGAAGTGGCTTTATATTCATTCTGGAAATTGCCTCTATGTTCAAATAGCATTCATTACATGCAGCTTTTCTCAGATCTAAAGGGCAAGGGGAAAACAGATTATTTGTAAAATAAAAACATAACACTGGCATGTATATTTTTTTTCCTCAGGGTGAGGGGGAAAATGCCTGGATGTTGTTTTCAAACACTCTGGCCATCAACTCCAGAGAGCATGGACAACCATAATTTTCATTGTTGACATAATGAAGATGATGCTTTTCAACCATTTCCCAGAGCATAAACTCATTTTCAGTGTCAGCCCGGCTAACCATAACGGATGCTAGTGATGTGGGAAAAACAAATGCACAAATGGAAAACAATGAGTCCGATAGCTCATTCATTGCTGTCAGTAGAAGCCAGAGTTCCTCCAATCTGCTTAGTGTCTGCCTTGTATAATCTGAAGTGCACTGCAGACCATTTGCATATTGAGGAAAATGTTAGAATTAACAATTGATTAAAATGTTAGGAATACACAAGGCAGTTAGATTCTCACTATCTCTCAGAAAGTTTTGGGGTTTTTCCTTCATGTGTATGCTCATTAAATTAGGTACAAAGATTTTTTTTTCAGTAGCTGAAACTAAATAAAGTTGAGAATTGATGCAATTATCTCAATAATATACTCAAACACTTTCCTCAACTTTTAAATTATTAGAAAACCAAAATTACTTTTTGGCTTAAACGACTTAGTTGCTCAAAAAAGAAAACATGATAGGGAGTCTCATTAGAAGACTCGTAACAAAATCACTTATTTTTCCTTACTGACCTTAGTTAACATTTCTACCAATTTCCTTCCTGTCTTTTTTCTGTATGAATTCATATTATAGATATGGTCCTGTATTCTGCTTTTTTTACTCATATTATAGCATTTTCTTGTTTGGTAAAGGTTTTTTATAACTCATTTCCAGTGTCTACATATCCTTATATCACAGAAAAGTACTATAATACATCTAAGAATTCTGCATTTGAGAACACTTAAGTAACATGTAATATTTTTTTATTAAAAATAATACAGTGATAAATATCCCTGTACATAAATCAACATGTCTAATATTTTAAGACTGTGAGTAAATGATGACATTATTTGAGTAAATAGGTTTAAGTCAGATCCTCTGATAACTCTAGGCATGTGGAGACCCATGATACATTTCCCAGGCACCCTTGCTGATAGTGTGAGTATGTGACTAAATTCTGGTTGGTGAAATATGAAAGTGTCCTGTGGCAGCTTCCAGGAGACTTCCTTACACTACTGATGTTATATGCTCTTTGCTTCTACTCTTGGACATTTCTCCATTTTGGGTCATAGGATAGGGACTACAGACCAAGGATGGTGGAGAGTGAAATGAGATAAATTCTCATTACATATCCATTGATAAACTGGAAAAAAATTACAGTTTTGATAAATCTTTTGATGAGAGATAATGAATCACCTTTGTTCCATATTGTATTTTGAGAGTGAGGATGATGCTGTCCCCAAAAATATCATGATTTATCTCTATGAGATTTAAGGAAGATTCCTGGGTTCCCCTTCTCTCCCAGTGGGCACTCTGCATTATTCTCTTCATCTCATTTTAGCAACACCAAAAATATATGTTAGCAAAACAATACTTTTTAAAGAGCAAATCATTTCTAATTCCCAAGTGGTAAGTAATTTCTAAAAAGTACTATATTTCATCTTGAGTTATTTTTCATTTTAGTCAATTGTTCACTACTGTAAAAAAAAAAAAGTTACAAACTACATACAAGAGGAAATAGCTTAAGGACCTGTATAACTTTGAGGCAAAGTTGCATGAAATTGTCAAACCACAAGTCTCCCAGGATCTTCCAGTGTTAGTTGATTAGCCAAACCAGCAGGACTATTCAGTAATGGATTCTGCTTTGGGCAATGCTAATAGAGCTATACTCTTGATGAAAACTAACCTCAAAATTTGGGCCACGTTGACTTTCACTAAACATCCGTCTAATGATGGCACTTCACTTTTCAACATAAAAAGGGAAAGGGAAAATTGAGGTAATTATGTTGGCAATTTAAGTAAAACAGAAAATATCCAGATACTTGAGCAAAGGGAATTGGAGCTTTAACACAAAGAAAATAAAGTTTCTTGACCAGAGATTTCCAAATCTTATGTCTAGTAAAAAGTGGCATTAACCAAGGCTATTTTTTTCGTTCTCCTGTGTTAATTCAAGTTTGTAGAGACTGATGCTGTTTACCAATAAGCAAGCAGGCAAGATATTCTCACAAACATTCTCATGAAAATGTAACATGTTGATCCAGTTTCCACTCCCTCTGAGCCTCTGGAGGTGATGGACCACCATCATGAGAAATATGGGTAACATCTACCAAACATTCTCTTTGGGTCTCCTACCAATGAACTCATTCTCACTCAGAAGGTGCCTCTGCTCCCAATATCCAGGGCTTCCCTTTAGCATTTGCTCCCAATATCTCTGCTTTACTAGTTTATGTTCTTCACTGCTTCTGGACTATTGTCACTGCTGATGTCATCGCCCACTCTGCACCAGGGCCAGCCTTGCGTGACGTGGTTCCATCAGTGTTTTGATGCCAAGCCTCCTTCTGCTCTGTTTCTCCTGATTTATATGACAATTTGGCATGAGGAGCTCATCACTGCCCACCTACTCATGGCACTATCTTTTCTCTATTTGATCCATACTGCCCTAGCTAATACAAAAGAGGAGCTCTCTGCTCCCAAGTTTCAACCTCTAGACATTAAGTGTTTCAAAGTCACTTCAATCATAGACTGCCAGATTGTTGTAACATTTTTATTTATTCATTCCCTTGATGTTACTGGATTGGTTAGGACTTTTTTGTTTCCAGCAGTGTGAGACATATTGATGGTGTGTTTACAAGTTTACCAGCTATGATGTTCATTTTATGTCAATGAACTTGACTGGGTGACGGGTTGCCAGACATTAGGTCAAACAGTATTTTGGGTGTGTCTATGATGTGTTTCTGGATGACACTAATGTTTGAATACATGAGTAAAGCAGATTGCCCTCCCTAATATGGGTGAATCCCATGTAGTCATTTGAAAGTCTGGATAGAACTAAAAAGCTCAAAAGACCTCCTGTGACAAGGAGATGATTCCTTCCAACCTAACTGCCTTTCAACCTGAGACACTGGTTTATCCCTGGATTTAGAATTAAACTGAAATAATAGCTCTTTGGGGGTCTTAAGCTTGCTAGCTCTCAGACTGGAAATATACCATCAGCTCTCCTCATTCTCAAGCCTTTGGACCCAGGCTGGACCTACACTGCCAGCTCTACTGGGCCTTGTTGACTGCAGATCTTGAGACTTGGAAGCCTCCCTAATTATGCACACTAATTCCTTAAAATGAACCTCTTCATATACAGTGCATATACCCCAATAGTTCTTTTTCTCTGGAAGGCACTAATACAACAGGTAACCCTAATATTTGTTTTGTGTACTACCCAACTACATTCTTTTCTAAATTACAGATTTGGATTGTTTTATATTAAATGTCTCCCCACTTGTAAGTAATTGAGGAACCTCATCTCAAAAGCAATTGATCTGTGATTGGCTTGCTTTTTTCCTTATGAATACAGAATGAAAGCCAATGTGTGTTAACCTAATAGCCTCCACAGTCATAATAGAAGCCTCTCTATCCTGTTATAATTCTCCCCTGTCAAGTCCTCTAGAAATCCCTCAAATGCCTCATATGTGTTCACAAACAAGTCTCCCAATAACTCCTTCTCCTGCTCTTTTCTCACTTCTAGAAGTTTGCTACCGGGGAGCCTGGGTGGCTCAGTCAGTTAAGCGTTTGACTTCGGCTCAGGTCATGATCTCGCAGTCTGTGGGTTTGGGCCCCACATAGGGCTCTGTGCTGACACCTCAGAGCTGGAGCCTGCTTCAGATTCTGTGTCTCCCTCACTCTCTTCCCCTTCTCTGCTCATGCTCTGCCTCTCTCTGTCTCTCAAAAATAAATAAACATTAAAAATTAAAAAAAAAAAAGTTTACTACATTACATTTTCCACAGCTGACAATGTCCTTTGATGAACCACCATTTCTGTGATGCCCCAAAAGTTAAGTGCCAGCACTTGAGTACCCAGAGTAGCACTCACTTCCATAAGATTAGATGCTCTCTGAGTCAGGAAAAGCTTTTTTCAACTCTCTGTCACTTTCCCAATCAAGGGATGGCAGCCAGACCCTGATGGATCTGTCACGAGAGCCTGTGAACTCTGGCAAGAAGCTGAGTCCTTGTCCTTCCAGTTCTTACTCTTCCCTCAAAGTTTTAAAAAGTATAGGCTCAATTTTAGTCAGTGTTCAAACTCAAGGTAAAGAACTCTTCTTTACCGTCAGCTGATCTCTGGGATGTGTTTCCTGACACAGAGCCGTAACCAGGAGGTTCCATATGGAAAGAACAAACTTCATCTAGCTCCAGAGTTCACAGCCCTTTCCTGTTGCAACAGGTAGCTTATTTTAAGTTCAATCTTTCTTATTGTTTGTGAAAGCAGGAAGAGGATGTTGAGAGTAGGAAGGAGAAATATCTTTAAAAAAAAAAAACAGGTTGACTATTTTAAAGATATTCATTTACAATTATTTTATTAAACAATCACCTTTTACATGTCATCAGACCTTACCCCTGAAGTGCAAAAACACAGTTTGAGGTATTAAAACTGAAGGAACCTTTGCACATATTTCGTAAGGTTTTCACACTATAGTAACCAAAATATTCAGTGTAACGAAATACTACACATAACAGCAGGTTGAGAAGAACAAAGCTGTATAAAACAAACCTGGGTGGGCTCATTGTAGCTCTGAGCCTCCCATTTATGATGAAAGGATGGCAAAAAAAAAAAAAAAAAAGTAATGCAAGACGTAAGTTGCTTGCAAAACGATGTGTCCATTACTCAGTTTTTAAAAAGTGGTATGTACAATGTAAAAGGTCAACACCGAAAACAGCAGCCATCCCTAAAGCACAAAAATCAACCTCATCAACTGGTTTCAATGACAGTATCCTGTGCACAGGATTTAATCTTCACATTAATGGCAATTCAGTTAAAGTATCTGAAATAGATTTACTAGACTATTTTAGCACTATTCCATGTACAAATAAGGTCACATAAGTAGCATGCATGGTCCACACATTTTTTTTCCATAGGAGTTTTCCCTTTAAAGTAGAAAATAAATTTTTAACCACAGATCAAAGTTCAGAATGGTCACTTCAAAGTGATCTTGAAGAAACACAGGGAAGAGGAGATTGCCTTTTTAACTATTAGACTTTTTCATATTGAATAAATTATCTGAAGACTTTCCAGATCTCATTTCACTGTGTGTCTATACCTTGAAAAAGAAAGTTGAGGTAATCAGATAGCTAATTATTATAATATAAAGACTTACTTCTGATCTGTTCAGGCAAATTGGAGACAGTGTTTTTTGATTTGATGATTGATTTAATTATTAATTTCAGAGCATAGGTGCTTCATTGAAACAAATTTAAAATTATATAGTGATTTGCATATAATATAGTAGGTTAAGTCCTAAACAATGGGTCACAAATGTTGAACAGAAATTAGTTTCTACAGCAGTTGTTCTGGTTAATGTAGGAATCGTAATAGCCACACATGCTAGGTTTTGATGTTTGTCACTGAATTTTTCTTTTCAGTTGTGTGAATAGACTAGACAAAGAGAAAGATGATTTCTTGGTAAGAATACAGGCTGCTTAAAACTTGGCTTTTAAACACTTTTTTTGCAAAACTGACAAAGGATCACAACTTCTTGCAGTTTACTCTTACAGGAAAATACTGTTTATTCCATGGCAATCGTGACACTTTCAAGAAGACACCTTAAAAAGTAGGGCTCTTCCAGATTATTTGCTTTGCCAGCATCAGAAATTTGTGGGAAAAGGACATTTTTTTGTAGAGACTCCAACAATGTTCTGCAGAATACATCTACTCTGTTTACCCTTTGTCATGGGGGGGGAAAGGAAACTATGTTGTTAAAAACCCCATGGGAACATTATGCTTATGTGTGGGGGCAATATCCTCTCCCACAACTATGGTTTGCCTTCCCACTCTCTTGAATGAAGAATGATTTTCACAGCTGCCTCACCACTGGAAGCACAGCTGCAAAGGCGGCTGACTTGTTTACCTGGGAGGAGAGTAAACATGTGCTGATGTTCTCACAGGAACCACGAGAAAACTGATCACAGCCATTCCCATGCAAAGGAATAATGACCTAGGGTCACTTGGTTTCCTTTAGAGGTTAACAACTATTTTTACTGTCTGCTACATAAGTAGATGCTCCAGGTTAAGATACATTCCCCAAGAATCTGTTGGTTGTGTTTTGTTTGTTTTACTTTTTTAATGAATGTCATAGACATGGAAATCACCCAAAAACACACAGGTCATAGAAACAGTAACTAAATCTCAGGTGTCCAAATGAACCAGTCCAATTAAAACATATCCCTAAGCTGGAGTTATCTGGAACAAAACAACAACAACAACAGCAAATAACTTTCATTTTAGGACTGTATAAACAATCTAAATGCCATCACACTGGGTTTTAATGATTAAGGGGAAAAATGCAACAAATGTACTTTTTTTTCTATCTCCACCTTTTATCTCTATAACAACCAATAATCAAACGAAAATTGAAATAAAATGAAATATGACTGATCTTATAAGATCTAAGTCCTGAATATTGTTTGCTTGACGTCATTACACCCATTGGTGCCATACAAATAGGGCTGACCACATACTCACGTGACAAGAGTGATAACCGTCAAAATTCTTTCACTGTCATCATGCTGACGAACTACACTGTGAAATCTATCAAACCTACATATATCAAATGCTGGCTGGCATTCAGTTTGGATGAAAACACTGACTGCAGTCACACAGGGTATAGTCAGTGAATCCTTCTCCCGAGAGAAGGGACCTGTTAAAGTCAGTCAAAGACTGGGTTTCTTATGCCATTCAACACCAAACTGGTGGGTGCCTTCCTGTGTAGAAGGGCCAGTGAGCACAGGAGAAGGGAAAAGCTCATGACTCCCAGGATGACCATCCCTGATATCAGTGCACTGGTGATGGCATTCAGCTGGAAGGGAGGTTCACCTGGAGAACCTGCAAGCATAACAACACACACAGTGGGAAGGTCCACTATCAGATTTATCTCACTTCATCCCAATTCATACCTGCAACACATCTGTCATTGCTATCTTGCAAAGTAACAGCATGACATTGATTCATGCTATAATCTATTTGATTATAATTGAATCCAGTAACCAAAGGATTATGTGGGTTAGAAGCCAGGTATCCCTGAGCAGCCAAAAACAAAATTATCTATAAAATGCTATAAAAATTGACCAATAGGTTACATATGAGTTTAGAAATTCTCAGTGAACTATTATTTAAAATATAACAAACCTGTAAAACCAGAACTCATTATATTTAGTTGTCTAGAGTTTTACACGTTATCAAAAAATACTTAAAATTTTGCAAAATCATACTTTTATTTTCCATGTATGTTCGTTATCTTACCAAGCTGTGAATTGTTGGTTGGAGTCTCATCTGGAGGAGAAAAGAAAAAGAAAAGCAATATCGTATCTTTAAATATTTACCTAGGTGTATTATAATTATATGATTACTTTTTACCTACATTTGCCCTTCCCTTCACCAAAAGCCCCATGGTTAAGGCAATAATGAAAATCTTCCGAAACTATTCTGTCTTCACATTTCCTGTTCCATGTGTCTGAGATTTTATTATCTATCCATTCCCCAGGCCCACACCCTGACACTGCCTCAGGCATACAAATAGAATCGCAAAATATACTGTACTATATTTTTTCTTGCCAACTTTGCTCCATCATTATCTCTTTAGTCAGGTTAGTGGGGGCAGTAATTGTTTACAGTTAGTACAATTTTTATAGCCCTATAACCTGCCATTTGTTATTCTGTTTTAGAGAAGTATTCATTATTTAGTGCTCCTCTGTTTTAAGTATTGCCAATTTGCCATCATAATCTGTAAAAACATTTTAAGTTCCAAAAAGATAAATTCACACTTGATAACTAAATGAAAGGAAAACATGACTCCTACTCTTGAGTTGTAGTTTGTTTGTTTGTTTGTTTGTTTGCATCTGTTAAGTAAAAGATTAAACCTGTTGATTTTTTTACTCATCCCTGGCAAACATAATAATACATGGAATGAATGCATTCACCTGGCTTCCCAACTTGTGTTACCCATTTTGTAATCATATAGCCATTAACCCCTGATCCTGTACAATGAGTGGATTTTGTTTCTGTTCTTAAACATTTGGGTGTGTATGTGTCTGTGAGTGTCTGTTACTTGAACCATAAAATGTGTGCAGTTGCCAGATTGATTTTGGAGGATAAATATTATTACAATTAACATGTGTGTAATTCCATACGGTTTACAAAGTGCTGTTTCATATATCATCACATTTTGTCCTCATAACAGACATATGGTTTAGATATTATTGCTGCCCCCATTTTACAGATGAAGAAACTTCCATCTGTCATGGCCTCCATGATAAGGTAAACATATGTTAAAATTTCAAAATGTTCAATTTCAGAATCCTTTTCCTAAAATCATATAAACTAGCCAAGTATGGAAAATGTGTTTAGTTATAAAGATGAATATCTCAAGCCATATGAAACTCCAGTATTAGTTTTTGAAATAATTTTGAAATAATTTATTGGAAGAACCTGATGTGATATTATAAACTATCTGATGCCACTTCTTTTAAGACATATGAGTCTTGGCATAACTGATGATTCTGTTGTTTGAGCCTGAAATGCAATGTCCCAAACTGATAGAATTCTCATTTATAGTATTCTTTAGAATGGTGCAGTGTACCACTATAGGACAAAAAGGGGGTGGGGGGAAGAGCATTAATTTTCATAATAGGGACACCCTTAGGAAAACCCTAACCTCCAACCCACACTATTTTATAAAGACATTGTTTCTCATGGAAATGGATAAAGTGAATGAACTGTGAACAATTCTTCTAAAAGATCTGCATGCCCCCTTTCCAAGACAAGCTGCCTCACTGAAACATGAAAGGAATATATAATGCTCTAAAGTTTCATTTTCAAAGTTATTCTTTGTTTAGAAATCACACTTATTTGCTCTTAATTTTTTTTTTTTTTTTTTTTTGAAGAATAGAATGCCCCATCCTTCTATGTGCCCCAAGTTAGGTGAAAGTCCTGGGACTGGATGCCTCTACTATTTTCTGCATCCTGAAGTTAATGAAAGAGGTCAGGATAGCCTCCTCCTCTCTCACATTACCACCAACACTTCCATGAGAGCAATATCGGAGGTGCTATTCACAAGGACTGGGCAGTGGGCAAAATCTTCACCTGAGACAACATGTCAAATGAGCCCTACTAGCTACTGGTTCCATGATGCTGAAAAACTGAAAGCATTCTGCCTCTGGCAGATGACTAAAATCAAAACACTCAAAACACTATTCAAATAATATTTGATTATTATTGGGTATTGTATTTAATAGTGGATAAAGGTAGAGAGAATCACTTTATCTGGTTGCTGTTTCTGCTATCCGTCAACTTCCAGTCTCCTGCAATTTGATCTAGCTCCAAAGGGGAAGTAGATGTTGTCCAGTAGATTTTTTTCAACGTACGCTCTGTTTTTGGGTTGTTTTTTTTTTCTCACACACACATTTGGTCTTACCATATACATATGTGCTAAAAGAAACCTTCTGGAGTTAGAACAGATTGGAATACTAAACTTGGTGGGCTCTTCCAAAAACATCCCACTAGCTGAGGACCCACAGGAAGAAAGTGAGGGCGGCAATAGCACAGTTGTTTGGAAGCCCAAAGTAGAAGACAAATTGTTTTCCCCCTGCTTTTCTCTCATATAAGTAGTAGAAATAAATGGAAAAAGTAAACGTCAGTGCAAAGATATATACAGAATAAATATTTTTCCTTTCTTAGCACAAGCAAACTATTTTTTTAAATTTTCAATCACCTTTGTGGTAAAATGGACCACATATTTCAAATTTAGAACTTTAAACTTTTTACCTTCCATTGTGTTATGTTCGTTAATAGTCTGTCTCTACCTTTGAACACTAAGATCCCTGAGAGCAGAGACTATGGTTTGTTCTCTGTGGTATTCCCAGTTCCTAGCAGAGTGCCTGTCCTATATGGAAGCTTGAATGAATTATTAACTCCCCATAAAACTCAATGACACAAGTTGAATAGCTTGGCTTGGACTTTTCCATCAGACTTTATGTAATAAAACAATTAGGTGTTATTGTGTTCCAGTGCTTGCACTTGTGAATTTCCAGAATTGCACCCCAAGATAAGAATTTCCCTACCAAATACTTTTAGCATGTGAGGACGTAAAATAAGAACTTCAGGAATTTTGAAGACTTTAAATTTTGAAGACGTGAATATTTTCCTAAATCAACCAACAAAAAGATTAACAATGTTAAGTAAGAATAAGCAGAATGTCTGATTCATTAAAACAAAAGTATTGTGCTTTAACAACTTATTAAACTTGACCCTAAGTCAGTTGTCTAGGGGAAAAGAGTGGTTCAATGAGTAAAGAGAGCAAAAATCCCCAAGTGCCGGAGAGCTTTGAAGAGAGCAAATCAAGCCTGAAATTGGACTTGTCTATATAAAACCGGCCACAGGATCTAGAGAGATAAATTCTAGCTGACCTCAGTTAAACATAAAGTGAAACTGAGAAAAGAAGGTAGCCCTAGTCATTAAGCTAGACATTAAGTTCACATAGAATTTTCCTGTGGATAGATATGGTTTGATTTCTGAGTTCTGTGTTTATATAGAGTTTAATATAATATTTTTTGGTTGGTACTATAAGTATCATAATATGAACACTGTCATATATGGTCCCTTACACAGTGAGGACACCATGATTGCCTCCAAATGCACTTTCCTATTACCATTTATCAAAATTATAAAAAAATCAATCCATAGAGAGTAAAAGAGGAATGAAGGGCATCTGGAAGGTCTGAACATGATCCTTTGGGAGCTTTGCCAGTGAAGAGACGGAGGTGACTAAGATAACACTACTGTGTTGGAAAATGAATGTTATCCATGAGACGGAAATAGGCTGAAATTGGAAAAGAAGACATCCAGACATGACATCAGAGACATTTTTGATCAAGGCATCAGCTCTTTGAGGTTTTAGCATAGATAGTTTGGGCAACTGAATATGGTTGGGGTGAAACTTACCAAACCTGTTTGGCTGTTAGTTATGGTGGAATTAGAAACTTCTCTCTGGTAATCTTTATTGGGGTTTGGGGGTCTTAGAAATGTTGGTCTTTATAAAAACATATCTTACACTAATAAATTATTTAAACTTTGTAATATATAGATTGGTTTTGGCCCAGGTAAGAAGGAAGCAAAGAAGCTAATAAGGAGGAAAAGCCATTTACTCAACACAGGCAGAGAAATGCCACTTTCAAGAAATTTTTTTCTTCTACAAAACTGACACTAGATATGTTCCATAGAAATAAAAATATTTTTTATTGTGCCTACCCAAAAGCATTCCTAATTATTGGCAATAAGAGCTGAATTTCCATGTGGTGTAATTCCAGGAGCTATTTCTGACAGCTAGATAAGAATTGGGCCTTTCACAAGCCACAAACCAGTCATTTTCAAACCATTCAAAACACATACCAAACCTCAGGGAGTGCAGACTAAGTTTGAAATTTCATATTTAATAAATTTCTGTATTATTTTTAAAAGCCTATTAGCTTGTTTTTAAATAATGCTCTGTCTACACAAACACAGAGGAGTAAATAACTAAGGAATTGTCTAAACTTTTTAGGCCAAAACCATTTTTTTCTTAATTACCTATTTCACACAAAACTTTCTTTTCACTGTGGAACAGGACGCATGGGAGAAAAAGTAAAAATAATCTAATTGAAATGCAGTAATAGCCTTATGGCTTATACAATATTGAGAAAAAATTATTAGAATATAATCCAAACCAGAATTCAGCTTTTTTAAAAGACAATTTTAGAGCTATAGAGTTAGAAACTTAAAGGCAACTTTTTCAAACCCCTCATTTTAAAAATTAGGAAATATTTACCCCAAGAGGTGAAATAAAATCTCACATCACATAGCTTGTTTAGACAAAAGCTAGAGCTAGAACCAGTGTTTCTGACTTAAGTTTGTGCTGTCTACACTGCATGTCTGATTTATCCAATTGATTCCGAATGTCCCTGGGTTCACACTGACATAAAGCAGTATGCCTTTGGAGAGTGTGTTTACAAATACTTGTAAATATGAGAATATATGTGTATAAACAGTTGTGGCTATTAGATTCGTGGCCACTGTGGAGTGCACTGGAAGGGGTATGTAGTATTCAGGATCCTGGGAAGAAGCAAATGGTACTCACACTGGGCATTTTAAGAAAAGCTTAATAGGACTACTTATACAGATGTAGGGAATTCACAAGAGAAGGTCAAGTTCTTTGGCCTATGGGTTAAAGAGAGGGTTTCCAGTTCTGTAAAAAAAAAGTTGGCTGGGAGGAGTTATGTGGCTACTTCCATCCTCTGATAGCACCACCTACTGGCCAAGCCCAACCAAAGACTGGATGGCAAAGCAGCAGATGAGTGCAGTTCACACAGGGCAGTCTTCAGGGAAAGGGAGCAGGACAGGGGAGGGGAGAGTGAAAAATGTCCTGCACGGTATATTTGTATACTTGTGTGTTTGTGTGTGTGTGTGCACGCACGCATGCGTGTGCATGTGTTTGTGTAAAAAGGGCAATATTGTAAAGCCAATATTGCCCTTTGTGTGCAAGTTGAGTAAACAGGAAACTACTGTGAAATTAAAGTTGCTTAGCAGTTTATCTTGTTTCACAGTTAATTAGTGCTGTTTAGAAACCACTCTGAGTTCTCCTTAGAAGCCAAGTAATAAGCCATTTTGGAGCAGTCTATTATTACACACAAAAGGAGAAGCATTCTTACCACTCCGAGTAATGATGGGACCAGCAGAGAGGATGGCGTTTCCAGACGTGCTCTGGGGGCTCCAAGTGGTCCTCCTCCCTGCATCCCTCCTTTCTCTGTGGCCGCAAATCTGAGGTGTTAATGAAAACAAATGAAATTCCACACCGGCACAAAATTAGTTCTTTATGGCCATTTGGAAAGCAGATTCTTTTGGAAGAGATACCACATGTTTAATTTTATTCATTTACTTCTGTGCATTTATTTAATTACTTTGCATATAACTGCTACAGTGTTTCTTTTTCTGGCTTGGACCACATTTCTTATTTCCTTCGTTATAACTGTGCTTTGCCTCATTAATTTACATAGCTCAATGGTTCTCCTGAAAAAGGGCTGTGTTTATCAAAGTTCTGTACTTTTATTTCTCGCAAGCCTTTAATAAATCTTTCCCTGAAATGTTGGTCAGCACAGAGACAAGGTAATGTGGACTCACCATTTAACCCCATCTGATATTGCTAGTGAGGACTAAAGCAATTAGTTTTTGTGAAGAAATGCATGAATTTGAGCATAAATAAAAACATACTAAAGCTATTCCAAATAAAAAAACTGTGCTTGCATTTTTTCAGGTTAATATTGATGTGACCTCCGAGGGCCTGCCAGAAATAGACTTTTTTTAATTCACGAGTAAATGGATCTGTATTTTAATGATGGCTGTATGCAATTAAGACCCACACCTTTTAGAACTTCTAACTTGTAATCCAAGGGAATCATGACCATCAGGGCCAAATCTACATTTCCAGAGCTAGCCCTGCACCTTCCCCAGGTTTTTCAATCAGCCTCTACTCTGCTCCACGACCTTGCAGATGGCCAGGTAGTTTCCTGGTTACTCTGTTATATGTGTCTTTGACTTTGGTCAACCTTTGGCATGAAGGGTCTCACACTCTTGAATTTGCCCCTATGTGATTCATCCATCTTCAAAGTCACACCTTGGGTTTTATGTCTTCCTTCAGACTTCCCAATTTCTCCTGTTGTATCTCTCTCACAAAGGTGAATACTGCCTCCTACTACAACCTATATATACATCTGCCTTTGCACCATAACATTTTTGTCTTATTTTCTTCCATGACTGTCTCCTGGTCATGGAGACACACTGGCCTTGCTGGATAATAGTCACAGTGAGGAAATGGCAGCGTTTGCACAGCTCCTGCCACGAGAAACAAAAACTGGTATCTCCTCCTGCTACTACTGGCTCATGTTAGAAATGAGGCTGCTGGTATTGACCAGGCCTCACAATATTCCAGATCAGACTGATATTCCCCACACAGATTCCTCATAAGGAAAAGCATATCCCTGTCTTTTCAAAAGTGATTTCAGATGAAAGCACTGTGGATGATTGTCAAAAGGCTCTTCCTATGGGGCTTGCAGATCCAAGACTTACATAATAAAGGGGGCTAAGAACACAAGAGTTACAATGGAGTCTGGCCCTGAGACAAAGAGCCTAATTTAGAGTTAAGGACAGATATCCACCCCCACCCAATTGTTTTTGCTTGGAGTACCGACCCCCAAGGCATTTGTGATCAGTATTTGGAGTGACTTGTTCTGGCCTTGAATATGCTGATTGCTCCCTGTGAAGGAACCTATTGATGAACTTCTTTTGTGATTATGGGAGCAAAGGTGTTTCCTGAAAGACCTGTTTTTCTTGATACTTCGCCTTAAACAAGCTTTTTACCCTTACTCACAAAAAAGTAACTTCACCCTTTTTATGCTAAGAACATTGTCTTATATGCTAAAGATACCCTCCTTCCCCATAGGATAAGCATCTAAATCCGCTACCTCAATCACTATTGATAAAGGTTATGCAGGAGTCTTCTACAAATCTATGTTCTGGGAAATTCTTACATATCAAAGAAGTTTGTTATCGGAAATTATTGTTTAAGGCAAATGCCACTTCTGTGCTGTCCCCCAAACACTTAATTATAAAATAAAGTTGAGCCCCAGTCAGAGCGGAGATGTCTGCCTGGTGACCAGAAAGACTCTTGGGCCTCTCTCACACCTCCCTTGCCGACACCATCCATCCTTCAGGGACCCTTGGACCTGGGCCAGAGCCGGCCTCTGACATCCTGGCCCTCAAAGATAAGCTAAATGAGTTCAGAAAATCATGCACACATGTCTGTATTCTCAGTATTATGCTTGGCACAAAGTAAGCATTCAATAGATCTTTACTGGATGGATAAATAAATAAATAAATCCTACATCAAACTGTTTGACCCAATGCATATCCATTTTCCACGTAGAAATTAGTTCCTAACACCTGATAACCCTTTAGCTTAGATCAATTTGACAATTTAAAATAAAGTTGCTAAAAACATACTGGCATAAGGAAGGGACAGTCATCAGCTCTGCAGAGCTTGGTAACACAGTGCAGGAAGACGGTGGACATTTTCTGATTCTTGTGCTTCACAAATCGGAACACTTCAAAGGAAAACCGGCCTTGCTGGCTTCTGCCATTTTCAATGACAGTGGTCTGAGGATCTTTGTCACAGCTACATTTTAGAGAATATGAAAACAGGATATTACTGGAAATTACCAGCCCACTGGAAATCATAAATTAATTTCTGCAGTATTAAGAGCTAACAAAATCATGCCATGTTACAGATATTTAATAAGAGCATAAGCTAACTCAACAAATATGACAAGAGTGACCTAGATCAGAAAATTTAAACAGATCAATCTCTGATTATAATAGTACCATCAAATTTTAGAGGGATTATACTTTCATAATATTCAAAAATTCAAACAGAATAAAATATATGTAGTGAAAAGTCTCCTTCCCATGATTGCCCTTATCCACACCAATCCCCATCTACATTAAAATCTGCCAGAGGTGATCTCACTCGTTACTGCACCCTCCCAGGGCATATACATACCAAAGCTGAAGTAATGAGCTCTCACGGTTTCCTTTTTCTTAAAAAAAAAAAGTAGCACACTATCTACATTGTTTTGTACCTTTACTTTTTAAAACTTTAACACTGTATTTTTTAGATTCATACATTATGAATCTAAAAAATGTAAATACACATTTATAAATATGAATATTTAGCAAGCCACCTCATTCTTTTGGCACACTGTGTAGCATTCCATCACACAAATGTACCAGCATTTATTTAATCAGGTTCCTATTTATGTACCTTTGCATTGTTTTGAATCTTTTGCTTTTTACAAAGTAATAATATATAGCCTTATAATACAGTATTTTGAACACAAGCAGGGTTATCTGTACAATGCATCTATAAGGCCATTTAATAGATGTTGCCATATTCCCCTCTATAAATATTGCTGTATTTTGTACTTCCCAAGTAATGTATGAAGAGAATCCTTATTTCCCCAAAGCTACATCAACAAAATATATGCAAAAGTTTCTGGATTATTTGCTCTTGCGTAAGAAAAATAAACTGTCACCTTATAATTTTAATTTGCATTTTTGTCAGTGGAAATGACTATGTGCAACTTTTCATATACATTAGAGCCAATTGTATTTCTTTATCTGAAAATTGTTTATGTCCTTTGCCCAAATTTCTATTTTATTTTTGGCCTTTTCTTTCTGACTCTTCTAAATTCTTTATGTCTGCTAGAAGACTAGCTCCCTGCTTGTTATCTAAGTTGCAATTGTTTTACTTTGTTGCTTAGCTCCTGTGTGTGTGTGTGTGTGTGTGTGTGTGTTCATACACACACAGAAGCTTTGTTTTTAGGTTAAATTTTCAATATTTTATTGTATGGCTTTTAATAAGGCATATCTTGTCTTATTGTGCTAACTTTATTGCACTTGCAGAGACCGTGGTTCTTACAGGCTGAAGATTGGTGCCAAATCTGCACTTAGCAGGTCTATCAGTGCCATTTTTGCAACAGCATTTGCTTGCTTCATGTCTCTGTGTCACATTTTGCTAATTCTCACATTATTTCAAAATTTTTGTTGTTATTATATTTGTTATGCTGATCTGTGAAGTTACTATTGTAATTATTTTGAGTCCCCCACCACCACACTGTGTCCCTATAAGATGGTGAATTTACCTGTTAAGTGTGTGTTCTGACTATTCATTCACCCACCGGCTGTTCCCCGGCCATCTCTCTCCCTCTCCTCAGGCCTTCCTATTCCCTGAGACACGATAATGTTGAAATTAGGCCACTTAATAACCCTACAATAACTTATAGGTGTTCAAGTGAAGAGTCACATATCTCTCACTTTAAATCAAAAGCTAGAAACGGTTAAGCTTAGTGAGGAAGTCATGAAAGCCTAGACAGGCTGAAAGCTAGGCTTCTGTGCCAAACAGTCAGTTGTGAATGCAAAGGAACAGTTCTTGAAGGTAATTAAAAGTGCTAACCCAGTGAACACATGAATAACAAGAAAGTGAAGCAGGCTTATTGCTGATATGAAGAAAGTTTTAGTGGTCTGGAAAGAAGATCTAGCCAGCCACAACATTCCTTTAAGCCAAAAGCTAATCCAGAACAAGACCCTCTCCACAATTCCGTGAAGGCTGAAAGAGGTGAAGAAACTGGAAAAAAGTTTGAAATTTGCAAAGGTTGGTTCATGAGGTTTAAAGAAAGAAGCTGACTCCATAACAAAAAAAGGTAAAGCAGCAACTGCTGACATAGAAGCTGCAGCAAATTATCCAGATGTTAACACAACATCCATTCTGCAGCTCATGAATCAAGGAATAATTTTGACTTTCAAATCTTATTATTTAAGAAATACATTTCACAAGGCTGGAGGTACCATAGATCATAATTCCTCCGATGGATCTGGCCAAAGTAAATTGAAATCCTGGAAAGGGTTCACCATTCTAGATGACATTAAGAAGAGGTCAAAGTATCAACATGACAGAATTTGGAAGAATTTGATTCCAGCCCTCATGGATGACTTTGAGAGGTTCAAGACCTCCACAGAGGAAGTGACTGAAGATGTGGTAGAAATAGCAAGAGAAACAGAATTAGAAGTGGAGCCTCAAGATGTGACTGAATTGCTGTAAGCTCATGATAAAACTGGAATGGATGAGGAGTTGCTTCTTACAGATGAGCAAAGAAAGTGGTTACTTGAGGTGGAAACTAGTCCTGATGAAGATGCTGTGAAGATTGTTGAAATGACAACAAATGATCTTATATAAATTCAGTTGATAAAACTAGCACCAGGGTTTGAGAGGATTGATTCCAATTGTTAAAGAAATTCTACTGTGGGTAAAATGTGGATAAAATCAAATAGTACAGCATGTTACAGAGAAATAGTTTATGAAAGGAACACTCAATCGCTGTGGCAAACTTCATTGTTGTCATATTTTAAGAAATCACCACAGCCACTCCACCCTTCAGCAACCACCACCCTGGTCACACAGCAGCCATCAACATGGACGTAAGGCCTTCCACTAGCAAAAAGATTACAACTCACTGAAAGCTCAGATGATGATTGGCCTTTTTTAGTGATAAAGTGTATGTTAACTAAGGTATGAACATTGGGGGGGGGGTATAATGATTGATATTGCATACTTAATAGACTGCAGTATAGTACAAATATAACTTTATATCTACTGGGAAATAAAAAAATTCATTTCCAATATTCATTTTATTGGTGTAGTCTGGAACCAATTCCTCAATATCTCCAAGTAAATAACTGTATTTCAGCAACAAATAGATTTTCCTTATACCAAAGTTTGTTTGTTCAAATTTTATTTAGTAACATACAGTGCTATATTGGTTTCAGGAGTAGACAGTGACTCATCACTTACATACAACACCCAGTGCCCATCACAAGAGCCCTCCTTAATACCCATCACCCGTCTAAGCCCATCCCCCATGCATCTCTCTCTCAAAGTTTTAAAAATATTTCTTATGTTAATATGGTTTCTTCTACCACTTTTAAAGCTGCATCTTTTACATTCAAATTAATTATCTATTTTTAAAAAAGATTTTATGTTTATTTTAGTTTTGAGAGAGAGACAGACAGAACATGAGCAGGGAAGGGGCAGAGAGAGAGGGAGACACAGGATCCAAAGCAGGCTCCACGCTCTGAGCTGTCAGCACAGAGCCTGATGTGGGGCTTGAACTCACCAACCATGAGATCACAGACTGTGAGATCATGACCTGAGCCAATGTCTGCGCTTAACCAACTAAGCCACCCAAGGGCCTCGGTCAAATTAATAATCTATTTAAAATTTATTGTGGTGTATTGAGTGAACTATAGATCCAATGCTATATTTTCTTCATGGTTATCTACTTCCCAGCTCTAATTTTAAAAGCTGTTTATCTTACTGATTTGTGATATCACAGTCTATCATATTGTAAATTCTCATATGTTTTATATCTATTTCTGAACTCAATAAAATATTCTAATTTTTGTCTATGTGACTAATCTTGCATAATATGACATTCATATAATAATTTTAGAGCTATCATTAAGTATAATGACTGTTAGGGCCACGCCCTTCTCATTTTCATATTTTTTTGGTATTTTGTAGATTCATTAATCCCCTTTTCTTGATTAGGTTAGCTTGGGCTTCTCTATTTTGTTTTTTCAAAGAACTTACTCTTTCTTTCTGTATTGCAAAATTTTGGTTCGTATTTCCAATTCTGATCCAAGTGTTATTGAAGTGCTTTAAACTGCCAAGGAATGCTGACTTTCTGTTTTCTTATTGTTAAGTATCATCAGCTATTAATATATAGCTAATTGATTATGTCATTCAGATCTTCTATATCTTTACTTGTTGGCCACCAGAGCTGTTTCCTGAGAGACGCCTCTCTGAGTCTCCTCTCTCGTTTATTAAGATTGTAACAATGACTTTTTATGGTTCCCCTCATTTCTACTTGGTGAAACCCTTGATTTCATCCAGGGAATCCTTTCATTATGTTGATGTAAGTCTTCTTTTAGTTAGGTAAGTATTCCTGGAATATACTTTTAGATGTTTGTTCTATTCTATTTTCTTGGTTTCTTTTGGATGGAGGAATTCCATTTATGCATATTATACATGTATTGTATTCCCTTGATCTACCTTTTCTTTCTATCTTTCCTACTGTAAACGCTTTTGTCTTTTTGTTTCTTTTTATCTCTATGTCCTAATTTTATTTTCTCTGTCCCATACTGTGCTTTCAACTGTGTCTATTGTCCCTGGAATACCTACTTATGTCCTCCTTCTGTTTATAGAAATTTCAGTAAAACATTTCTTTTTTTTACTCCATCTTAAATTCTTCCAGTTACTTTTTCTCATTCTTGTAGCCTTCTCTCTTACTGTAGTGAGTTCTTATAATTCTATTGCCATCACTACAATTTTTTTACAGAATTTATTTAGCCATTAGACTATCCTGACTAATAAAATTTTGTCTTTTCAAAGTGTTGTATAAATGGAATCATGCACTATGTAACCTTTGAGGGTTTGGTTTTTACTCACTGTAATTATCTAGAGATACATCTATGTTATGTGTACCCATAATTCATTTTTTATTTTTTTTTCCATAATTCACTTTTTATTTAGGACGAGCATTTCATGACATTGATGCACCA